CACACCAGTAACTGTACTGGAAGTTAAATTCAATCCAGCAACAAACAATAATTGATTCACAACTGCCAAAGCTCCACACCAAGCCAATTGTTTTGATTGTTTGAAACTTGGCAATCTGGCCAAAACAAACGAAGGTATCACTGCCTTATCATTATAGAATATAGAATAAATCCATCCCCAATATTTGCTTCCATAAATAGATGGATACTTTTTCCTAAATGCAAATGCTCGATTAATAAGTTTAGTTTCTGATTTAAATTTGAATTTTCTATCCACAAATAACATGATTGGAAAGAGTGAAATAACCAAAACAACTCCTCTAAAGAAGGAAAATATAATTGGATTATAAATCTTCAAGCCATAGGGCGAGAGAATGAGAAATCCAGAAAATAATGTCAAATTGGTCCAAATCATCAAGTGTGCAATAACATTACCAGTTAGGAAATTCCAAATTCTTAATGGAATTGAAGTTGGTTTCTTATTGTTCCCTCCAACAACACCATTTTCAATATTATTATTATCCATTATATTATCTTGTTCTTCATCAATACTCATTGAATCGATTGTCGGGCCAGAATGTATAGAGGCTAACAAATCATGATGAGCAAAACCCGACGGTGAAGAAGGTGAAATTATTTGACTATTTCCTTCATCATTATTAATACCAATAGTACTACCATTATTATTACTATTAATATTATAACCGTCGTTACTCGAATGAAATGGGAAACTCGATGAAAAAGAGTGAGGTAAATGATCATTTTCCAACTCTCCATTATCCACCTCCTCTTCTTCTAATAAATTAACATTACTACTCGTATAGTAAATTTCCTCATCCAATTCTTCTGCTTCTTCATAATTCATCAACCTCCGAATATTCTTCTTTTGTTGCTGCATCAAGTAGTTATTATTATTTAATTATTTAACTATCCAATTCACCACAGATTTTGTGAGAGCCAATTATGTCTCGAGTCGAGGCAATTTAGGTGAATTTTTTGAACAAGACAAATTGAGGACTCCTTTGAATTTCCTCTACCGGACCAATATAATATTGCGTCCTTCATTATTCTTAAAGAATATTCATAGTGGAGTCCATTAGTATGCAATTTTGGCTTCGATTCTGGGAGGTGGAAGTGAAATATTTTTTTCAAACTTGATTATACCTTAGTGCAAAGCTGTAGAACCGATTGAGAGAGTTGGTAAATGGAAACGGGTAAATGTCATACGATCGTACATTTACTTTCGTATGACTAGATTGACCTGGAATATTCGAAACTGTTAAATAACCAAACAATTTAGCAGATCTACAGTAGTCAGGAGTGAGGCAAAGAGATTAAATAAAGTAGAACGAAATATTAAAAAACAACCCTTACTGAAAAAAGTAAGGAAACAAAAACCAATCATGGCCTTTGAATATTTTCTTGTCATCCTAGAAATGAACAATTGCAACTTTCGAGGAGATTAAAACAGCAGATATCAGGTTAACAAATCCTCATGTCAAAGGGCCAAACGTCACATCGGCATCAGCTGTCCATAAAATAAAATTTAATTAAAAAAAAGAAGCCCAACAATAATATTAAAACGCGTTGTACTCCGTGTGTGTCTGCAACAACAACATCATCATTAACAACAACAATAACAATTTGTGGACAATTTGTGTGATCAACACATTGAAGAAAACATTGCGCGCCTTTTTTGCAA